CTGCACAGCGGCGAACACGAGTCAACAGGATACGGTGGCGCTTGTTACAGGGGGCCTGGACGTGAAACGGAACAGGAACGACAGGACGCAACTGGCTCGTCTCGCAGGAAGTCCGTGCCAGGCGAGCGGTACTCCAAATGGAAGCTGGCGCAGCAATTCAACCGAGTCCAGCTCCGGGTGAGACAGCATCCCAACCAACAACTGACCCAGGCTTGCACCGCCGAACGCGGTGGTCGCGCATCTCAACATGATCGTGCCACCTCCTGCGATGTCCAGCCGGCCGAGGGTTCCAAAGATTCAAAGTCCAGTCCACTCTGTCTGCCGGCACACCCTGACGACCCTGGAGATGTCGACGACCCCTTGAAGTCGCGCAAGCGCTCAGTGCGTTTGTTGGACGATGAGGGTGCGGACAGGGCGAACGCAAACGCGCCCCCCACCAGCCCCATCAGCCCCAAGCCCGATAGTGTCACTTCCCCTGGTACGGCTTCTGTGCAACGCGTCCAGACGGTGGAGCGCTGCTTCGGGGATGATCAGTACAGCGACAGGGACTCACAGGCGTCGGGACCCGAAGCAGGGCATGGAGATGACGCATCCATGCTCAACCACTGCGGGAACACTATGGCGTCGCAGACGCTGCCGCGCGACACCAGCGAGGAGATCGAGACTGATGCTTTCAGGGCTGACGGAATGACCAGCAGCGAAGGCGTTGACTGCTCCTCCCCATCGCTTCCGGTGCCCAGGGCAGCCGAGGGCGGCAGGAGAAGGAAGTCGAACCGACGCTGCCAGCAGTGGTCCGCCGACCCGCGGCCAAATATTTCTGACGACCTCTTTGAAGACGTCGTGGGCCAGTTGGCTGCCTACGAGGCGAGAAAACGCGTCTTGCTAGAGAGCGGCCTTCGCCATCTGCTGGGGACAGCCTCTGTTCCTTACGGGCCCCACGAGCGGCCCGGTGGTGTCGCTGACCACTGGTGTTGCCGTTCCCGCTGTTGTTGTTGCTGCTGCCACCGAAGAGGGAGGAATGGTCCCGATGCGGTGCTGCAGGAGCCCACTCGCACGCCATCCACATCTGGAGTGCCTTCTTCGGTGAAAGACGACGCGGCGCCAATGGGGGCATGGGAGCCTGCTGTGGTGGAGGGCACACATGGCTCCATCGCCACGTTTGCCCATTCGTTGGGTTTGGAATACACGTGTCATCCTGGCGACACCCAAGGCTGCGACTGTGCTCCCAATTCCGGCAGCGCCCTTGGCTCCAGCGACGACGGCGCCCATTCGGGCGAAGATGGTTGCGAGGCACAGGCGGTGCTGGATGCCCGTGGGACGCTGGCGCCAAGCGGGGAGACTTGGCAGGGGGGCCCAATGGAAAATTCCCAGATGCAGAGCATAGAAGACATGTTGCTGTGTTTGCGCCGCCGTATTGGCGAGCTGCATGGGATGATAGCCTCGGTAACCCACGTATCAGGACAACAGGTCGACCTAGACGCAGTGGGAGCAGGGGCACGCATGGTGACCGGAGCGGACGAGACGATGGGGGACAAAGCAGTTGGGACGCGGCGCGCTGGGACGCCCACGGACAGCCGGGACCAAGGGCACAATGGTGACAACCTCTGAAACGCTAAAACGACTGGCTGCTCTTTTGCCCATTTGGATGGCCACTTGGACGTCGAAAAAGAGCTTGCAGTCTTAGAGGTCTTGGAACATACATGTGGTTGCTTAGATTTCTGCAGAGGAAGAGGGACATCAGGCAATGACTTGAAACAGCAGGAGTGTCCTTGTGATGTGCTGGTGCTGTCAGGCAAGAGATACGGAACCAAATTTGAGCCCTGGCTGTCACAGTGGTTTCCAGGATCTTTGAAGCCGCTGATGATGGCCACTGCCGCAAAGCAAAAGTATGGAGGCTTGAACCCAGCAGACAATCCACGCTCAACATGACATCAGTTCGTGCTGTATTTCAGGCCTGCAGTGTCACCTACAACAACATCCCACCATTCTGCGAGTCTTGACTTGAACACAAAGCGCTCAACAGAGGAACACAATGGAGAACACATGCAGAACTGAGGCAGGCGCTCACTACAGCAGACTCATACGCAGGATGTGGTTGAGCAAGGAATCGGCACCAGAGACATCTCAAGCCTTCACAACTGAGTCACCAGTAGGCTGTACCATGGATCAAATTTACAGCATTTTCAATCTCAGTGGTTCGGTTTATCCAGTGGGGCTTATTTATTTTGCCACTCGACAATGAGGTCGTGGGGCATGTAGAAAACACGTGGCAGTTCTCCACTTTGCCTTTACCAAGTGCTACATATGCAGTAGGCGTCAAGATACAGCAGGCCCTGCCTTGGTTGTCTTAGAGCCTAAGTCCAGCCATGAGCCAGAGACCAGTCCCATTCCCATCTTCCCATTTTCCTGTCCCATTTCCCGTTTTCCCGTTTCCGCTGGGCATCTGTTCACATAGACATGGCCACAGTTACATCTCCCCTCACGCTCTCCATGTTTTTAACCTGCCAGCAAACAATCAACAAGGCCTGTTTGACAACTGGCAAGTTAATAACATGCTCACAGCCACCGCAAGGATAACTTTTAAGTGCAGTTTTGCAGGGACCTACACTTTCCCCATGTAAGCAAAACACTGGGCCAGGATCGCCAGTGCTGCTTGTGCAAAACAACAAAAGCATGTGGGTTGCCACAGCAACCGGCAACAGGACAGCCACAGAGCAAACTCTGGTGCCACAATATGGCAACAACATTCTGGTGGTGGTGCGAGCACAAAATGAGCTTCTGGAATAGACAGTAATGACAATAGCATAATGACTCAAATATAGAGATGCAAGATGAATACAGCCTAAGGACAAAATTTCAAGGTAGAGAGACAGAAAGGACAATCAAAACCTAGCTCACCTCCCATTGAATCATGAGCCCATGTATTCTGCCTTCATGTGTGCCTGATAAGGAAGCCTGACAGGGGGGTGGCGCTGGAGAAGCAGAAGCTCCTGTGCACTCTCCAACATTGATTGAGGTACTGCTGAGCGATTTCGCAAATTTGGTCGTGTGGAGGCAAACGCTTGCTGCATGTCTTGTTCAGCCGCTAGTACAAGCTCCTCCAATCTGCAATGCTTTGGCTGCCGCTCATCGCATGCACGTAGTGGCCGTTTCATACCCGATCTGATTGCTCGCTGCAAACGACCATTTGCAGCTTGGGAAACAGACGCTGCAGAGTTGTGGACAACAACCTTCTGGGATTTCGAATGTTTGCAGGCCTTCCCCAATTTGCTATGAGAGGCCAATTGCGAAGGTTTGGCCAACTTCTTCGTTTGCGGCACACTTGCCTTAGTATCATCAGATTCGCATGTGAACTCCCTGACCTCCCTCCATTTTCCTTGTGTCCAAGCATTCCTGCATGGTTGCAAAGCCAACAGCAGGTCGCCAAAGGACAGCTTCATGCCGCCCTTGACCGCAAGGAGGTATTGCTTGTACACTTCCCGAGCCTGGGCGCTCAAGCGAAAGTCGAAGTCCCTGAGGGACAAGCGCTTCCACTCTGGCCTGCAACCGCGATGGCTACTCAACCAACCCTCCAACTTGTCCCTGCGGTCCATGCCGGGAGAAGTGGATCCACAGCCCGAGCAAACGGAGCGGTAGACGAGCCACGGGGTGCCAACAGGGACACAGTTGCAGTTTTTGAATCGGATGACGGCCCAGAAGCCAACAGGCAGGCGGTAATTGTCCGTCCTACAGATCTCGTAGTTGCTCCCTTTGCAGCTGCATTCCGCTCTGCGACACCAATCACAAACATCGTCGCAAGATCCAAGAGCGTACTCGCAGCGCCACCCAGCGAGGGCGACCCCCCGCATGTGGCCGCCCACTCCTTGTCGCCATTTGAAGCAACGACCGCACTGAGCCCAGAACGGCTCCTCACTTGGATCTGGCGCCCTCTTGTCGTCCTGTCCATCAACCCGCTTCCGTTCAACCGGCTGAGATTGCTGCTCGGCATCCGCCATCTTTCGCACAAATGGGAACACCACGCGGGGCGCAGCGTTGCCAGTCGATTTTCCGACCACAGCCCGCTCCGCCGTTGACAGAAAGCCCATCGCGGGGAGATCACAGCCTGATGTGCGGATCACGGATGGGGTGGCCTCCATTGTTGCTTCAACCTCGGCCGCCTTGTCCGAGGGTCTCTTGCGGCGATGGTCGCGCCGCGTCACCCGAGAGGTCCCCAGCCACGCCACAGACCTTCCCTTGGCCTCGTCGAGCAGGACCACAGGCTGGCACCTCGCGTACAGCCCCGGAATCCTTCACGACAGTGGAGGCAACCAGTTGGCAACAAGTTGGAAAGCACAGCGACGGGTACGCGGGAGCCAGTTTCGTGCAACAGAGGCGGGTGTGGGAGTGACACCGTACACGTAAAGCCCAGCATTTGAATGGGCCACACCGGTGTGCTGGGTAGTGGCTCGCTTGGGCGCACGACTGCTGATCAACCACAGCACCCGATGATCCGAGTCTGCCACCGAGACGGTTGTCTTCGAGACAACATCAAATGCCTCCTCGCCTCGATCTGTAAGAATACTTGATGACGATGACAACATCAAAAACAAATCATTTTGCATGGCATTGTTACGGCTAGAACTGATTGAGTGTTATAAATAACTGAATGTATGAAAAGATGACGAAGCACTAGGAATTACATTAAGGATGTTGATGAACAGACTGGGTATAAAGGACAGAGCGTCTGTTGTCCTTTTGCCTCGGCTGTAAACCGTTGCCGTGGACTTGAGCGTACGATTCCCGTTCAGGGATCGCCACCCCTCGACCCTGCCTGCCTTCGTCAGCATGATGGAACAAGCCGAATGTGATAGATGTCTAGTTTGTGCATTGTCAACACGAATAAATCTATTGAGTGTTAAAACATCATTTCAGCTGCTGGGGACAGAGACAGGAAGAAAGAATGGAAGAACATAAAGATTAGAAATTCTTATTTGAACGGACCAAAATTTGTGAGAAATGCTGCCCAGATTCCAGCATCGAGTACCTTATGCCACGCCTGCTGCATGCCTTGTACTTTGGATGTACTTCAGTGATATAGAATCATGCCGCTGTATCGCGCCTTACTAATCATGGGCTCTGGCGTGGCGTGGTTGGTGGAGCCTCCTGATACCCTTGATCACAGGTGTGATCGAGCTGCTTCGCGGAATGGTCAACATTTTGAAATTCAACTGTTTGCTGTCTACGAGTCAGTGAGGGCTACTATCAGAAGTCTGTTGAAGATTTGGGCTGTGAAATTTGCTTTCAAAAGGTTTTACAAACAATGTAAAGAACTGTGGTGGGTTAGTAACTCGTGGGAGTGGCTCAGAAACCGCAAATGGTGATTACGAGTCAGAGCTTTGAATGCCTGAGGTGTGGAAGGTGATTTGGATTTTGTTGTACTTCTGAAGTAATTGCCGAACCGTGGCAAACGCTTTCGCATCTCGAATGTACTCAGAAACGGGGTGGTGATTATTTGCTGCTCCAGAACGGTGACATGATTGGGGTCATGCCAACGTTGGCATTTAATTTTGGAGGATTCATGGAAATGGTCCATGAATTCCAACTTTTGCCCGGCAGCCATTTTTCAACAAACACCCGTAAATGAACTTAATGTTCAAAGGTCATGTGGTATTCAAAATCCGACGGTGAGTGGATTCCAAGAAACCAACCAACAGAGTTTTTTCTCCAGACAATTATTCAAGCATCGATTAAGTATGCATGTTCAATAATCACTATTCAGACACAGATGCTGGTCATAAATGGGCGTATGAGGACCCAACATGCTAAGGCAGCGCCATTGGAAACCTCCAGTCCCATTCCCATTGGAATACCCACCCCTCCCCACCGCCAGCACGTCCATAAATGGAACATAATAGGGTGGCAGCACTTGGAATTTGCAACCCCTCACTGACAACAAAACGCCAATTGAGCGTGACACTCCTTAACTCTAAAGGAAACACATTTCGAATATTCTCTGATCAATTTGCTGTTGAAACAGTTATGAAGCCACGGCTACCATGTGCTGCTGCGGGCCGCACATTGAGCAGATAGCTGCCTGGGGGGCCTGCACGCGGGTGGTACAGTAGCTTATCGCCTGAAAGTTGCAAGGGCAGTGACATGCTACCACAGCATCAGGTGGATGCCAGTCACTGACTGTGTCACAGCCCAAATATCTGTAAGCCAGTTCAGCAGGAACAATCCACCGCACAATGCGAGCAGCACAGCATCCTGTTTCACAAGGACACCCAGCCCGCACAGGCGTTCCGCTCAAACTGGGAGCCGCCAAGCACACCACGCCTGCGATGTTGTGGGTCTAATTGCACGCTGCAGTGCTGCTGTGGGCATGATCAAATGTGCCACGCCCACAAACGATTCTTTCCCCCAGATTTGAACAGTCTTCTGGCAAGTTCAACTAAATCCCATTGATTGGAATTGCTGGTTGTGCGTGTTTGGGCGCCCAGTTAGACACGGGTTCCGGTGGGTATTACTTTGGCTATTTTGATGCCCACCCGGACCAGACAGAGGTGCCCTTGGCACGCACATGAACCTGTGCCGTATGTAACTGACGCCATCTCAACTTGCCTAATCCAATGCATTCACTGCAAGCCTGAACAACACCAGTAATTCCAATGCGGGCACAGCAATCTACGGGTTACGAAAGTTCGTTGACTTGCCGAATGCGTTTGTGAAAAACGCATAGCAAATTCCTTCCTCGGTGTTCACTTTGGAACGCTAGCAGCAATGTCAACTTCGGAAAACACATGTTTTCCATGTGCACATGCCATAAATTCCCTGTTACGTGAACACTTGATTTTAATTGGTATTGACCTGGTGGCCATGGAATTGCTGCGATCAATCTGATCCAGCAGATCTGCTCTCGAGGGCGAGGACCATGTCCTTGTGGCGTCAAGTTGTGTCCAGTCTTTGGTGCAAAGGACACATTCTTGACACGCAATGCGTGCGCAAGATCTGTCAAGTCATTTCAGATTTCCAGATTTCCGTTCGTCAACCGCAAAGAGATGCTTCAATCCGACAAGAATGTATGTAGACCCAGTGAACCATGTCTTGTTTTCGACTACCGGGCGCCATTTCAGAATCCGCTTGCGTCCGGCGGGCCAACAGCCAATCTTGCAAATCACGTGGTGCTCACCAAAGAAGCGAAACAGGCTCGCATGGAGTGACGTGCGAACAGCGCTGGCAGCGCGTTGCAGTGCGCCACACGGCCCGACGCAACGTCGTCCGCTGCATCCGTTGCATTCTCCAGAGTGTGACGTTTGTGACGGCAGCTGAGATCCCCGATTGAATACCATGCACACCGGCGGCGTCTGCCTTTGCAATCGACTGGGATTACACTACGGAGCCGAGGGGCTGCAGTGGGTGTCTACGAATGAGATGAGGACAAGCAGCTGGTGTCCTTAGCCTGACGTGCTCTTGACATGCGATTGCCAAACGTCACCGTTTTGTGGCTCGACGTGGGTCAGTTGCGGGTGTGTTGCGGCTCCCCACGGGCGCCTAAGAATGGCACAGCCAGAAATCAGTTCTATTCCTTTGGGATTCCATTTGTCTGATCCATCTAATGATCTACAGATTGAACGCCCTGTTCGTCGAACTCCTGCCGGACAAGCACAAGGACAGACCGTTCCCACAACGAGGGTGCCATTGGTAGAAAAAAAACCTGTGCTGTGCCCAAACAGATACGGTGCACACCAGCCAGATTCGAGAGTGGCAAGCTGCGCGATCAAAGAGGGCGCCGTCGGCGCTTCCAGGCGCCCGCCAAAGGCTGCCCAAATGGACTTCATATCCAGCCCCTATCGTGGCCCAGCTCACATCGGGCACGTCAGTGAGGATTTCTTCAAGATGTTCTTTCTCGGAGCGAACGTGAGGGGCGCCCTGTCCACATCATCACGAGTGGAATGCGTTGCAGCCGTGTTGGAGCGCCGGGTTCGATGCCCAAGGAGTAGCTAGTCAGAGCATTTTGCTGGCGGCGCTTGGACGCGCAATTCAGTTTGAATCGGCGGTACTGGGGCCGCATTGTGTGATGGCAGGCGCCAGCATTTGGGCAGTTTGGCAATGCGCTGTGCACGTTGTTGAACCGATGCGGTGTCACGAAACTAACGAGTTGTGGCGTGAGGCTCCAATTGCTCATATTGGATGTGGTGGGCTGCGGGCTGCAGGTGTCGTTCACAATGTTGAGCCTTCCTGGCAGGGTCTTGGGGAGCGAAATCAGACCCAGAAAATACAAGTATGGTGCTATATTGGGTATCTTGGGTATTTGGTGACCAGCCCATTCATGTTGGTTAACTGATTGCGCTGTTCTTTACTTGATCAAGCTTTGAGCAGTCATGCACTTGTTGAGTTCCTTTAGTAAGAGGCACATGAGCACTGCGATGTGCAGGTTTTGTTTCTGTATGAATTCAACGAGGGGTTGTTAAAGACCAGAAGATTCTGCAGCCTGACGCACATTTGTGGTGTTACTGACTTCGTGAACCTGCAGCGATGCAAATCCTTCTGCAAACCCTGTAATCTGTTTGCGTGGCCACGGCTAAGTGTCCTGCTGCCAGTGCACCTGCATTTCATACCAGCAAAGCTGCAAATATGGTGTTGAGTAATGGCACAAGCCTGAACCAGTCCATTCTTGCCCTCCTTTTTTGTGGACAGTCGTGAGCACCTGATGAGATTGTGTGAAGAGAATGCCATTAAGCGTGACCTCCGGCGTGGCAAGATTCCAACATACTGGATGGTGCGTTGCAGATTGCTTGTGCCATTGACATCGAACCCTCATTGGCTGGCAGACAGGAACTACAACTGACTGTCCACATGCTTGCCACTGTTTTGTCTTGAGTAATTTAGTTGATGTGGGCATTTGGAACGATTCCAACCAAGAGCTGGGAAGCGCAGTGGTGTTGTTTGGACAGCATATTGGAATGATGTGCAACTGCACTCTGCTGTGGGATCGCTTGAAACAAGTCCATGCTGCAGCTCTACCCCTTGTATGTGGAAGGTGTGGACAGAACTTCACCTGTCCCTTCCCGAATCATGGAGGCATTCACGCAACAACCTCCTCCCAATTTTGCTCCTTGTTCTTGCCACATGCAAGCAGCAACTGCTTGGTTTGCTGCTCTTTGTGCTGCTGTCCAAAGCTCCGAGCATTCATATGGCTGTGTATCCAGAGGAGGCCAACCCTCACGAACCACAGTTGGGAGAAGATGTGGTGGAACCATCTGAAGTTCAAGAGGTATGATGCCTGTCACTTGTTGCCAAGGGTGTGCCATGGCCCTTACCATGACATATGTTCATTTCACATTACATAACATAAGCAGCGTGCCTGATGCTTTCAGCCAGTCCATGCCTGTGCTCCAAATGCTGTGGATTGTTTATGAGAATATCTTGATATTTCTGATGCTCATCAGCGTCGCATGGAGAGCCTAATACTGTGGTCATGGGATGTGTGCAGGTGGACGGTGGATAGAGCTGGTCCCTGTTACCCTGCCACCTAGAGATTGTGCCGATGGGCGCTGTGTCGAACCGCCACAGGAATGCTCTGCTTTTATGAAGTTGGGACCACTGCACGGCTGTTGTATCCTAAAAGTGTGGCATGCCAAAGTGAAGTGGCAGCGTGTATGCCCACTTGGTGTCCGTACTGCTACAGGGGGTCAACGTTGACCGAAAGATGTACTGGAATCCACCCTTGCTTGATGGATGCTGCATCCCTGTCTGTCAGCGGGGCCTTCTGTCCTTCCGAGACCACATCAGGTGGAGCTTCTACTGTGGTTTTGAGGTTGAAGGGGATTGGCGTTAACCTAGGGGACCACACGGGGAGCACATGCATGGGGTGCAGCGCCTGTGCAGTACTGGCACCATCTTTGTCATCCAGAAGTGCCAGAAACCCTGGTGTTTACCATTTGCTTTGCCATTCCGATTGGAGGCCGAAACTGCCTGTGCGTTCATTACAGCAGGTGCTGAATGAATATTAAGTGCTTGAAAGAAAGCTATTTCACTGCTGTACTAGTATAAAGGTAGCTGAAAATCTAGAAGCTACATGCAGCTGAACACCCCATAAAGTTCCTGGTTTTGTTGCACTGCCAAGAAAGAATCCAACGGGTGTTCCAAACCCTTTCCCCATCATTCTCAATTCGCTCCGTACATTGGCACTGCATTTTCTTCTCATGATTAATAACCAAACGCAGCCGCTGGTGCTTCCTCGGCTCCAATGGTTGAACGGAAAATCTCCGTGACTAGGCAGAAGCCCACAAGACTGCGCCAGCTTGACTTCACTCGACGACAAACTGCCTTTTCCATACTTTCCTGCGCCGCTTTCCGTATATCTTCGACCCCAGCAGTCGGTCCTCAGGGTCTCGAAACCTGCACACGACAGGCGCTTTGCATTTTCTGTGCTGTACTCACATGATTAGAGTTTCCTCCCCTCAACACGACGGCAGGGGGCTCGTGGCGGCGGATACCGTTGAACAGTGCAGTCCAGTTGCTTTCTACGTAGATCAATCCAGTTTCTATTGCTCTAGCTGCAATCTGGTTGCCCGCAACAACCCATCATTTCTCGAATGCACCTCATCCGTGAGAGAGGCCCACGTCCACTTCACGTACCTTTGGGGCTTCAGCTGAAGCTTCCAGAATTCGAACAATGTGAAGAACACCGCTGACATCGTCGCCACTTGTGTGATTCGTGGGTACTGCCGCACGTCACAGCACTGTAGTTAGGATCGGTAAAAACCAATGGGACGAGCCAATGCCGGGTTAAGCAAGCACAGATACGGTTATAACAGGTTTGTGCTGACCGATTGGCGAGGAAGACAGGACAGCGAACGAACGTATGTGAGCACATTCTCTCCCGCAGGCTGTCTCCAGCACATTGCACGGCTATATTTCCAATGCCCACCTAGCCAATTGCACTACTGAAAATACTGTCACCCTGCAGGCAAGCAGGCAGTCCAGTGCTTCAAATCCGGCTCACCAAGCCTGCAAACAATCCTTTCATGCCCTTCTCCTGCAAAGTGATTGTCAGCGCCTGAAACAGAGGCGCCTTTGTCCGGCCACATTGAATCGTGGTCTTTGCGACATCCAGCGGCATGGTCAAAACCGCTGCACAGGCACCGCAGGCACCTGTGGCAAAAGAAATGGCTTTCGGAACAGGGACAGCAGTTGTATTACATCCTGTAAAAAGGTGGTTAGAAGGTGCCCCACAAGCCACCTGTGGCATTCCAATTCCGCATGGTACGGGCCATTCAGGTGAAGGATCCAGACATATCCACAATGACATCCAGACGGGTTGATGGCACAGTTACTGACCGGCAACCCAATGCTAGAGGCTAGTCATTTTCCCTTTCTCCCAGAGCAAGAGATGCAAAGGTGCCACTAATGCTGGAAAGATCGGGGTTGATTGTGACCACTCGCCGGGTGCGATTAGACACACTGAAGCAGGCACAATGCAGGGAAGTGAGAAACATCGTGAGCCTCGACCGTTGTATCTTCAGCAGAACGGCACCATGGCTGTGTCAACGGCGTCTCCCTCAAGAACGGCGCAGCTGCACTCCTGAAAGTATTGCACACACGTGGTGAAGGGTGAGAAGCTTTCTCAAGTTCGACCCACCTCCCAGAACCAGATGCTCCCATGTCTGTAGTTTTTTCTTCTCCCGCCGGCGCTCCAACGACACACGAAGCCTGCCACGCAGCATGCCATCACCACCAAGAAATACGAGGCTGGATTCATGGCAAATCTAAAGCTCGTTCTAAACCATTCAACTTATCTGTCAGCCATTGAATGTTTAGGGATCTGTGACAATGAAATGCTTTCTGACGTGTGTCCTGCATTGCCAGTAAGATCATCATCAACCCTGGTCGCATACCCCTGCACACCAAGGAGAGGTCTTAGGCAGACCTTGGTGTCCAGTGCCAAGCACCATTGGAGATATTAACTTCACATGTCAAGCGTCAGTGCTAGTAAGCAAAGGACTCCAAACAGGTAAACACATCGCTCAGGCAGGTCAACGTCGTCTGAAGGCTTCAAAGCTTGTGGCAAAAGTTGGCCAGCAGGTTGTCCTGCTGATGGTCATTGAATGGAGAACAAGGATCCACTGAATAGTGCCAATACAATACAAGGTGAATACGACTGCTGAAGAGTATCTGTGACCTTAAATGATGCTGTGTCTGCCATAGCTGTACCGCAAACAGATATTCACCTTATGCGGCACCTCATATCACACGGATGCCTCAATTGTAGACTCCATGCTGTGGCAATTCCACACTACAAGCAAAGTACTTGCACAACAAGGAGCGCGTTCACCACCAACTGCTTTCTTTCCAGCTATTGGCAGGCAGTTGGGCACACACTTGAGGTTTGTGTGCTCGAAGCGCAAATCTTTGCGTCCACACTCCACAAACCTGATGCGCCCTGACAGAGTACAAAGTAACCAGCCAGTATGGCTGTTGCCATCCACTCAGGAAATTACTTGGTATTCAGCCTGCCAAGTTTGACAGCAGAAGAGCTTGAGCCTCTATCTCAGCAATATGGAATAAGTCAAGAGCAATGATATGTTTGTGACTCGCACGTATTGGCTGGATAATGCAATCAAGACAACATCAAGACCCAACAAAACCCTGCAAACTCTCCACATTCCATGATGGGTGATATGCACACCAATCGCCCTCACTCATCACCACAAATAGACAGACGCCGCATTTCCGAATAAGTGGAGCATTGTACCTCTCATACAGGGCAAACTGCACAGCGATCTCAGGCACGTCTCTGAGAAGTGTTGGCAGGAAGCCAGAGTACAGTCCTCGCAACCCCTCCTTCTGAGCGATGCACATGCCAGCCTGGAAGACATTGGGGTGCATGTATGCCTGCACTCTATGCCTCATCGTGTCTGTAGGGACCCGGACAATGGAGGACGCAATAGCACCAGCAGAAGCAGATACCAGGTGAGTGGCCGGAGTGTCACTGCACAAAACATGGGATTGTACTGTTGGACAAAGTGGAAGGACTAAGGACAAAGGACAAAGTGTGCACAGTGGTCATTAATGCTGAAGCACACTACACAACATCTGTACCAACTGCATGCGTCACCCCTCCTCCTGGTGCACTGCATTTACCAATTCCACAAGCATGCCTTGTGCTGTTGCTTCCACAGGCCACATTACCCCCAGAACAATGTAGGTGGCACATGCATATTCCAAGCCATCAATCACAACACAACGGATTATGACACCTAGAATGTATTGCTTGAAACCAACATCTGATCGCAACTTGTAGTCCTTCGAAGCAGCAACGATCAGGTGGGGTAAGCAGCAAGCTGGGCATCAGTGCTTAAAGCCTGACGCCTCTGAATCCACTGACTTCTGTTATGTAGCAATGGCATCAAAAAAGACAACAAAATTTCAGGCAGCGCTTGCAAGGAACCGGTGTGCGCAGCCATAAACTGCCAAATTCAATTTAAGTTTGACTCAGCAGCCACACAACAGTGTAGTTGTACCAAGGCAAGGAACTGAGAGAGGTGCACAATTCTACAGCAGACGATAACAATGGTAGCAGAATCAATCCAGGGCTAAAAGAAAACCAATGTACGAGAAATGCAATTGATAGCATGTGTAGCACCGCAAATGTATGCCTACAGAACTCCGTTCAAGGAGAATTCGTGAATGGCAGCGAATGGGGTCCTTCTCACCTGCCCTCTTCATTGTCACCCTGTATCCATTGCTTTGTGCCCTCATAGGTTACAAAGTAGACAAGTGCAGTCGGCAGTGTCCCCAGAATGGCCCCTGTCAGTCCCAAGTAAATGTCCGATGGCCCCTGCAGGATGCAGCGGGTGCAGTAGGGGAATTCCTCAAGATCTCAAAACACATTCTCGTATTGAGCATCCTGTACAGGAGGTTGTGTCCTGAAATGAGCAGAAAGTCCATACGTGCAATCACCTTGACAAGGTAGTTGCGGAATTTGAATATCCTCCTAGCTACATGCACCTCCACCGCGCTTGACTTCGTCTTTTTTTTCCATTTCTTCACGGCTTCGGGAGGGGAGCGGACCTTCGCAGGGATGAACAGTCCTGAAGTGAGCAAGCCTTCCAAACAGCAACAAGTTTACTGAGAATCTGTTTTGCTTCACAAAACTTTTGAAATCGCATAAGTCACTGCCTCGTGGACGTCGATTCAGGCAGCCGTGAACCACACCTGGAGCCTCGTCTTGATTGTGTCTATCGGATGCACAAGGGCTTGCGCCATGGTCCGTGCGAAGGTACCTGCGATCACGTGCCGCACCTGCCGATGCGAACGGTGGACCGTTACCACACTGCAGTTGGCACCATTCGCTACTCCAAGCGTTTCAGCGCCATCCAAACCAATCAATCCGCACAATCCAAGCGCCTCCCAGAGGCGGCTCCTCCATCCGCAGTGCGCATGTTCACGCCTGATATCAGGCAAGTACCGATCAGCGAAGGCCACCGCAGTCTTATAGCTTTGGCAGCGGTTTTATCCCCAATTCTCGTGGCTTACAGATTCAGAGAACGTCGTAAACCATGTGCCACCAAGCGCCGAATGTGTCAGTCAGCGCACGGAGCGCAACGATACCCACCGTGTCTGAGAAACCCGCAACTGCATACCGCGCCTCCAGCAGGCTCGCCGCTCCTCCCATGGCCGCCATCACGCGATCACGACCCGCGTCAAAGGGGGAACCGTCAGCATCGTCGCTGCTCCAATTTCCAGCGCTGCGGGGGCCAACTGGCGCATGCGTCATGGGACACGCCACGAAATGTTGCGCGACGGGCGCGGAGATCCGCGCACCGACGGCCATCCGCGGCACAAGGGTGAGGCACTCTCGCTGCGCGAAGCCTCCAGGTCGTTGCGCCCATGCGCTCCTGCGTGCTGTGTTGGGGCGCCTGGGCGATCGAGGGTGAAGGATACGCGGCTGGCACAGCTACTTGATGACGATATCCACAAGTGAATGTACCAAGAGTGACCATTTAACACTAAAAACACGTGTCAAATGGGACTGAAACGCTTTCATTTCATTGCTCGTGCGTACACTTCCCCTCTTCTCTGAGGGTTTGTCTCTCACAAGTGACATTGGCCAAACTCTCGTCATATTACCGCCTTTCTATACTTCAAATTGTATTCGCATAGCTTTTGCAAGGTATGTTTTATGTTCAATATGTGTGTGGATGGTGAATCCAAATGCCATGTTTATATTTCCAAGAGGGTAGCTAAGTGGTCACCCTTTGAATGAGACGCAAATGTATCAGCTTGAAATTGCTTAGGTCGACTTCAATGTTTGTAATCGAAAAAAGGACTCCAGGCATGCTTCTAATAGTCTATATGTTAATATTGTGTCATTGCAATATATAAATAGGTGACTCGCTATTTTTAAAATCAAGGGTCTTGTGAGCGGGTTGATTCAAGCTGCCACCCACTTCTAAAATTCCCTCTCCTCTCCTTACCACCATGTATTTGGTGGTTGTGATAATATGAATGCAATTAAACCATATTCGTCCATCTTTGTCGTTGTGTGCTTACACCAAACAAGTATCCATACGCCTCTAAGTACAAGCTAGTCTGAAGATAGGTTATAGCCATTCAATAAATTCAAGTCACCTAGACTTGGTTTTTAGTAACAAATGCAACAATTGGTGCATGAAATAGTGCACCATTCAATGCACAAACTCCTGCACCAAATTAATGGTCTATTTGATGATGTGATTGTTTTACAAATTTGTACATGAATCGTTGCACCATATGGTGTGCCAATCGATGCACTGATAGCATTGTGGTAGTGACACTTGTTTTCTACTGTAGTCACTTTTTTCATCAACACCGGACTGTTCAAATGAGTGCGCAAGAAACAGTGACTAGGATAGTGCAGGTAAGGTGGTGTCGGCGCTTGGAGGCCCGTGGGCAAGACACAAGGTGGGACAGTCCAGGCGTTGGCTGCGGCGCCTTGGCTGCCCCGCAATTGACTGTAGATCGACTGCCAATTGGCCGGCACCATAGTAGACGATCGGTGCAGCCAAGCTATTGCTGCTACATTGACAGCCACTGGTTTCCAGAGGCGCTGGGGTCGCCTTGCCCTGCAACACGGCCGTTGAAGGTTAGCCGGCCTCTCCACCTTGGGTAGTGGGCATATCCAGGGGTGTCGATTCGATGGTTGCATGGTGGGCTCAATGCTCGATAGGAATCAATCTCTAAGGTCTGCTATTGGCGAGGGGTGGTAGTGCAGTGGTGCGGTGGTTAGTTGGCTCGCGGAAGGCCAGAGAATGAGCCAAAGAGGGTTACACAAATTCACAATGTGCACGTACACATTAGAGGTGGCCACACTCGGGTACCGTCCAATCCGTTAAGTCCGGTCCGTAAAACTGAGTGTGATATTCGTCCGGTAATATCCGGTTCGCTATTTGCCGTACTGCTATCCGCAGAATCCGGCTCTCACTTTTTCTTCACCGTTATTTGCCGTTAAGTTAACGGATGACGTGTGCGGCGTCCGGTCCGCAACAAAATATCCGTTGATTAATAATTTTGGTCCGTTATTACCCACAAATACTTGCTTTCCAGCCACGGCAAGGTCAAGGCGAAGTTGCCAAGGGGTTTCCATTTTGCAGCAACTCGAATTATGTTGGTTGCATGCTTGATAAATTTGTGTGGGCATCTTCCAGGTCATGTATTCTGCGGTTTATAATACATGGAGTGGTTTGGAGAACTGAACAACACACAAGCCGTGTGTAAAGTTGTAGTGTATACATGCAATCCTGCACCACTTGCTACGGTTGGTACTGCTGCGTAGTACGCAGTGCGTACCACACTCCCATTGCAAGTCTTCCCGGCCATTCCAGCAAGGGTTCGGCATAGTTGTAATACCAAACGCGGACACACACCCACCCACATCACTTGAGGTAGGTGGCAAAGAGGGTTCACCTCTGAACACAGTTGACCCACTCAACATACTTGGGAATGGGTGATACGTATCACATATAACGATGGGTTGCTGCGGCGGTACTCCACAGTTTCCACGCCAGGGCAGCGAGTGTAAAGCCCATCCACCAATTGCACTATTCGATTGGACACATTTCTCACAGAAATTCTCTTCTATCTATATGATACCATAGGTTTATCCACCATTCCAACATAGTACGTCGAAGTTCAATAGTTCAACATACATGAAAACGGGCAACAAATAGTACGAGTCGTGATTTGTTATCTTCCATCTCTGCCTATCGCACCCTCGCTGCGGCGGTACTCCAGAAGTTTCCACGCCAGGGCAGCGACTGTAAAGTCTATCCACCAATCGCAGTACTTGTTGGGACACATTTCTTGAATAAAATTTTCTTCTATCTATATGATACCCAAAGTTCATCCACCACTCAACATAGTGTGTTCAAGGTGTGCACATCAACACAGGACAACGGAATATTACAAGTCATGATATCTTATCTTCTATCTCTATGGTAACCGCACCCTTGCTGCGGCGGTACTCCACAGCTTCCACGCCGGGGCAACGAGGGTGGTCACCGGTGGTGATCCAAACTTTGGAATCCAAAGTCACTACTTCCCTCCCTTCCCTCCCTTCCCTCCCTTCCCTCCCTTCCCCCCCTTCTTGCGTCGATGCGCTAGCTTCTGCTGCGACCATCCACTCTCTGCCATCTGCCACCCTAGCAAGCTCAAATAATCCACGTTCTCGGGCTTGAGCACCATGCGCTTGGCCGTCACAATTAGACCAGCCTTCGAAAATGAGCGTTCACTACTGGTGCTGGAGGCATGCAACACAACCAAAAATACTCAGTACTTCTCAGCCTGTGAATTTCATAAGAGCTCTGTGGCATATATGCATAGCTAATTGGCATCACAATAAAACTAAACTTGGAAAATGAGCATTCACTGCTGGCGTTGGAAACCTGCAACACAACCAAAGGTATTCAGTTCTTTCCTTCCTTTCAACTCCATATTTCACATAAGGGCACTTTGGTATATATACACAGCCAGTTGTACTCACCCACTCACCTGTGTTGCTAATATTCAATGTGCAAGCCTGGCCACCAAGGGGAAGCTGGCGTGATTCTCACCCCACCAATCTCCAGCACTCCATTTTTTTTGATATTCACATGCTGGTGTCCATTTCAAATCAAACCACCTTTCGACTTCGGCCTCCACTGGGTCCATGTGCAGTGGGGAGCATGGGGCCCGTCTTCTCCATCTTGATCGTCGGAAACGTAGTGGTCCCTTAGGTGGGGGCGAACGACACTCGAACTTGGCGATGCACCTCCAAGCGAATCAGTGTCCGCAGAGCTCAACACACCCCTCCCAGCAGCAACATCATGTGTGTCTGGGACTCCTCGCTCAGCAACAAATGCTGCGAGGTCAACACCACCATCGCCGCCAACAGAGCTTGGCGCACACGCCCATTGCGTAAATAACTGAGGCTACATATATTCGACGATGGATTTCAAATGTTACAAGGATGGTCTGAGGACACTTTCTTTTGTGAAATAAAGGCAGAAAAGCATCTCACAACCATGGACTGTTCAGCGAATATCACCTTCCTCGCCGGTGGCAGGCGGTACTTGGACTTCACCTCACAATTAGACAAGTTGTTTTGTTAAAAAAAACTAATCCCCATCGGAGGAAGTCTCCGTGTCACTCCCTGTTAGGAGGCCGGAGTCCATGACATTGAACTCCCACCCAACCTATCAAAAAAAATCGTCTTCAAAGAGACTTTCTTCCAGACGTCTTAGTGACGGTTCAGTTATTCTATATTTTCTGCTAATAAACTTGTACCCCACCATGTGCTCCCCCCGGTGCAGCACCAAATCTATGATAGCCGTGCACTGACATGTTTTATAAGCAGCCCGGCGATTCATATCCACTTGTTTGCATTCCTGCCTGTGACGCTTCTGCCATTCTCCCCAAGACTGGGGGGGGTTCTGTCTCTCGTGTTGTTCCTTTCGTAACCGTACCCCTTCTGCCCCCCCCAATGCGTTATTAATGTATCCGCTTATGGCGGCTAGTCGGGCCTGGTCCTTGGGGGCGAGGTGGTCCTGTATGGGCCGCCACACCCCCGAGGGCAGGCCACCCAACCCCGCTTCTTGTATTTCCTCTAATCTATCTGGCAGAGCTTCCCTATCGCGCTCAACTTCCCAACCACGTGCAACTTCTATCCGCCGCCTGACTTTCACCCCTGCACGTCTCCTTCCCCCCTTCCTGTTGTGTCTGTGCCGGCGCTTTTGACCATCCTTGTAACGTTGGCCCCTGTTCAGAGGCCGCTTCCGACCTAACGCAAGAACAGAATACAGTGTTTCCCTAGCCAGGTGACGGCGGGTACTACCAAATAATGGTGGTGGCACCTACGCAAAGAAAGACGATGGGTATTGCAGGGACAGTTCGTGCATGTTGTACATTGCATGGCTGCATGGAAGGAACGAACTACCAAGGTTTCCCCAGCCAGGTGATGGCGGGTACTGCCACCAAATGGTTATGCTACATAAGGAAAAATAGGTGATGGGTACTGCAGGGACATATAGCACACCCTGTACAATGCACGGTGAAATAAAAGGAGCAAACTTGGAAGGCTTCCCCAGGCAGCTGATGCCAGGTACTGCCACATATTGGTGGTGGCATCTAAGCAAAGAAAGGCGTTGGGTATTGCAGGGT